GGCCGTGGTGGCAGCGGCGAGGCAACGCCGATGGGGTCGGCGGCAGGCGCCCGTCATCGAGTGCGCACGCTCCTGGGCGGGGTGATCCCTCGGGCCCGTTGATCGGCGGTGAAGTGGGCGACTGGGGGTCGATAGGCCCCCCCCTGAGCCTCTGTCCCCCCCAGCGTTGCCCCCTCGGACCCTCTCGCGTCGTGGAGAAGTCAAGGCGGCATGTTTCGGAGGCGACATTGGATGATTTTTGGTCGCTCGGGGCCCCCTCCGGGCCCGAGGACCGCCAAAACACGGCCCAGGATAAAAAGCCAGTCCCTGGGAAAGGGTCCAGACGACTGGGGGTCCACATTGGACAACAGAAACACGATGTCCTGTGCCTTTTGCTAGATCTTTCGCGACACGATGTTCGTCACTACGGACATCTTTTCATTGCCTATACAAAGCCTCTGGGGGCCGTTTTCTGGCCCCGGGGCCAACCATAATGGATCCGGGACGAAAGCCTTGCACCCGGAAAGGCGTGCGACCTCTGGGGCACAGACCCCCGACGACATGATTTAACAATTGTTCATGACGTCGACCCCCAGAGGTCTCGACCCCTTCCCCGGGACCGGCTTTTCGTCCCGAGTCGTTCTTTGACGGCCCCGAGGGCCGGCAAGGGCCCCCGAGAGGCCGAAAAACGTGCTCGAGGGGGGTCGACTGGGGCCGCGCGTGGAACCAAACCAATTCGTCGGATGCCCGGGGGCCTCCACCCGCGGGAGAGGCGGTCTCCGAGAGGGAGCCGGGCCACGAGCCGGCGCCCGACCTTCGAGGGGGGGGAGGGCCGGGGGCCCCTCCGCCACGCTCGGCGGCACAGAGGTGTGGCCTTTTGTGTTAGGCCGGGCACGTCCCCCTACAGGGCGGCTTTTGGAGGACAAAGTACAACAACCCGAACAAGACCCCCCAAACGAGGCAAGCATAAACAGCTCGAGAAGCGTCCCCAGGCGACGGACCTCCCGTCGTGCCTCGTTGTGTCCTTGCTCGAGGGGGGTCGACTGGGGCCGCGCGCGGAACCAAACCAGATCGTCGGGCCCAGACCCCCTCGAGTTATGAAAAAATCACGACGGGAGGTTTTCCATTATTTTTGGCCTCTGGGGGCCCTTGCCGGGCCTCGGGACCGTCAAAAAACGACTCGGGACGAAAAACCGGTCCCGGGGAATGGGTCCAGACAGCTGGGGGTCGACGTCATGAAAAATTCACGACGTCGGGGGTCTGGGGGGGCCCCAGGGCCTCCACCCGCGGGAGAGAGAGCGGTCTCCGAGGGGGAGCCGGGCCACGAGCCGGCGCCCGACCTTCAAAGGGGGGGGGGAGGGGGCCGAAGGGGCCCCTCTGCCACGCTCGGCGGCACGGAGGCGTGGCCTTTTCGTCGACGGGGCCCAGGGGCACGCAGGGAAATGCACGCAGGTCCCAGGATGTCCAGTATGCTTCAGAGATATGTTTGGGAGTTTCGTCTCCCCCCCCCACTGCCCATGTTTTCGCACATTTTCCAAGCAGTCGACGAGTTTTTTTCCCCTCCTGATTTGTGTTAGGTCGGGCATGTCCCCCTACAGGGGGAACAATGCAAAAATATGCAGAAAGAAAAAGAGAGGGAGGCAACAAATAATCAAAACCGTCCCCGGAGGATTTTTTCCTACTTCTGAGTATTCCTGCTGTAGAGGGACATGCCCGACTTAACCTTTCTGATGCGCGACTGTTTCGCGGAACGCGGGGAGGCCGAATCAGAGCGCGCAAGCCGCTGCGATCGCATCGCGTTCACCCATCTGGGGGCTAAGACGAAGCCAGGGCGAGGAGGAACCCAGGCGAGAAGGCGTCGAGAATCTCTGAGATCCGGCGATCCTCTGGAGGACTTCTCGGGCGCCGCGGCGGCCTTCTCGGAGCGTCCCGGAAAGCTCTTGGAACGTTCCGGAACGCTCTGGAATGGATCTATCATCGCCCTCGTGGACGCACAGAAACATACTAATAATATCTTCAGGGGGACGTAAGACCCGGGTACAGGGAACTCGGAAATCCCCGACGAGGTCGTCAAAAAAATGACGAGGCCGAGCCTGCATTTTGACGAGGCCTCCCGCTGCAGACATCCCGCGAAACTCCTCCTCGTCAAAATCCGAGGCGCGGTCATCAAAAAACAATGGCGAACCCGAGTCCTGGCAAACCCGGGTCTTACGCTCCCCCGATATATGCCCTCCTTGGAGGCGCGTGTCCGACCCGAACAGTTAGTATACCCACCTTGTCGTACATCGTTTCCCGAACGGCGTGTCCAGAAAGCGCCCGCCTCGACGCATATGCTGCAGGATTTCTCGGTGCGCGCGTCGCCCCTGGGGGGGCGACGCACATATGGGCGATTGCGGAAACCCTGAACCCAAAAACGTTTTCATCTCTTGGGAGGCGTTTTTTTACTTCCACCGCCTTCCGCCGGCTTCTGCTGGCGGAGGCGGCCTCGTTTTACTTCCGCCGACCTTCCGCTGCCCTTCTGCTGCCTTCCGCCGCGGAATAGATGGCAACTCCTTCTACTCGCGAAGGCAAGGCCCTCTTTGGAACGCTCCATATTGTAGAAGTATGTCGGGGTGACGCCGATCCTAGCCCTGCCCGAGGGGCCCCAGCATGCCCGCACCAAAGGTCACTCCGGCAAAAGGTCACTCTCCCGGTATCGTTAGGTCGGGCGTGTTCCCTTACAGGCGGATTTTGGACGAAACATGAAAAATAGCAAACACAGAGTCAAAACAAGATACAAAAATACCCAACAACAATCGTCCCCGGACTATTCTTCTACTATTTGCGAATACAGTCAGCCCGTATAGTAAGGATGCGCGATAAGGATGCAAGGGCCTTGAAAAGGCCATTCCGAAGCTTTCCGAGCGTGGCGCAGCCAGCGAAAGTGGCTGAGCATGGGCCGAGGAGGCAAGGATGCAAGGGGGGTACCCTTGGGAAGGGTGCCCATCCTGACTATATGGGGACGTCACACGAGAGCGGGCCGGACGCCCACAGGGCGAGCCCGAGCGAGCCGGGGGCTTGGCCCGCGAGGCCCTCGCAGAGGCGGAGGCGGGCCTCCGCGCGCCGCGGAGGCACGGCGACGACACGCTGCTGGGGCTATCTGTCCGCTCCCAGGCCCCCCATCGAGCAGTGCAACACAGACTCGGGACGGCGGAGGTGTGTCGCCGTGTTCGGCCTCAGCCTCTGGGGGGCCCCTGCCGGCCCTCGGGGCCGTCAGCTTAAACGACTCGGGGCGACAGACGGGTCCTGGGGAAGAGGTCGAGACCTCTGGGGGTCGACGTCACGAAAAAATCATGGCGTCGGTGGTCTCGGGGGCGCACTGGCCCAGGTCAATGCAAGCTAGCTCGGGTCCATCGGGCGCTGCAGGATCCCACACAATTCTGCAGGACCCTGCGGAACCCTGCGGACTAATCCGGGTCCGTGCAGCCCTGGATCCTGCGGGATCCTGCCGGATCTTGCGGGACCCTGAAAAATTTGCAGGATTCCAGGTTCCCGCAAGATCCGCCGCTCTGGCCGACCCCCGTTTTCTTTTCTTTCGCCTCTCCGTCTCGAGGCTCCCGATTCCTACTCCAGGGGCCCCGACCGGGCTCCAGGACCCAGGGCCGACAAACAGAACGACTTGGGGGGAGCAAAATTACCCCGAGCAGGGGTCCAGAGGTCCACATGGTGAACATAGCCAGCCACTGCGTCGGAGCTCCGAGGGGAAGGGGTGCAGGAGCAGAGGAGGATCGAGGAGGAGGAGGATGAGGAGGAGATGGAGAAGAAGGTGGAGGATCGAAAACGAGCGAGAAGGAGGGGGGGTCGAGGCTGAGGATCAAGGAGGAGGAGGAGAAGGAGGAGGAGGAGGAGGAGGAGGAGGAAGGAGGAGGAGGAGGAACAGGAGGAGGATGATCGAAAATGGGCGCGCAGGAGGTGTCGAGGATGAGGATCGAGGAGGAGGAGGAGGAGGAGGTGGAGGAGGAGGATGAGTCGGAGGAGGAGTAAGGAAGGAGAGGAGGAGGAGGAGGAGGAGGAGGAGGAGGAGGAGGAGGAGGTGGATGAGGTGGAGGAGGAGGAGCAGGAGGATGATGATGATGATGATGAGGAGGAGGAGGAGGAGGAGGAGGAGGAGGATTAAGAGGAGGAGGATCGAACATGAGCGATGAGGAGAGGTCGAGGATGAGGATCGAGGAGAAGGAGCAGGAGCAGGAGAAGGAGGAGGAGGGTAGAGGAAGAGGATCGAGGAGGAGGATCGAGGAGCAGGATCGAGGAGGAATTGGAGGAGGATGAGGATGAGGTGGAGGGTAGAGGAAGAGGATCGAGGAGGAGGATCGAAGAGGAGGATCGAGGAGAAGGAGGAGGAGGAAAAAGAGGGAGGACGCCCGCTCACCAGAAAGGGGACGGCCGCCAGAGGGCAGGGGATGGGAAGAGAAGAGCCATCAGTCACCATGTCGGCCAGCTAGACCAACAGTGCTTATGACAAGGGACGGGGGAGGAACGAGGAGGGGGAGGAGAGGGATCGAGGCGGAGGGATGACGACGACGACGACGACGACGACGATGATGATGATGACGATGATGATGATGATGATGATGATGATGATGATGATGATGATGATGATGATGATGATGATGATGATGATGATGATGATGATGATGATGATGATGATGATGATGATGATGACAAGAAGGAGGAGGATGAGGAGGAGGAGGAGAAGGAAGAGGAGGATGAGGGGGGAGGTGGAGTAGAGCGGAAGAGGAGGATAAAGAGGGGAAGAAGGAGAAGGAGGATCGAGCAGGAGGTGGAGGAGCGATGAGAAGGAGGGATGAGGAGGACCGAGGATGAGGATCGAGGAAGAGGAGGGATCGAGGCGGGTGGAGGGTGGATCCATGAAGAGGGGGAGGAGGGCAAGAAAGAGGCGGATCGATGGTGGTGAGGAGGAGGATCCAGGAGAGTGGAGGAAGGAGGAGGTTGGATAAAAGGAGCATCGAGGAAGATGTGTGTGTGTTCTCGAACATTTAGACCTCCAATGGCGACTGTTTCCCGCCAGCACAGCATGCCGAGCCTTATGGAAGACGGAGAAGAGCACAGTCATGCGTGCTGCGATCGGAAGCGCAGTCCTGCACAATTCGAATTGGGAGCCGGCACCCGTGTCACCGGCCAAGGGGGGGAGCTCGCAGCACGGCGAAAAAACAACAGGGCCCGCACACAGTCTGCCCACCGCGGGTGCGCCCGCAGCGGCCTCACAGGAGGCCCTCGGATTTTCACAACTCCCAATTATAATCTTAGGTCGGGCCTGTTCCCCTACAGGGGGATTCAAAGCGAAACATATATTGCAAAAAAATCGAAACATACCCCAACATTGTCAAAAATAGCGTCCCCATCTCATTTTTCTGCTATTTTGGGATATTCCCCCTGTAGAGGGACAGGCCCGACTTAATTATAATCTGGCGCGCCGCACGACTGGGCGATTCACCACCCAGCTTGGAGCCAGCTTCCCTGCCGGAGCGCACGGAGGCGGAGAGGAGAGGCCGAGGCTGGCGAGTCCCAGAACACCACCCGACGACACCCTGGACGAGTGGCTCGATCGCAAGGCCTTGGCGGCGCGCACAGGGGGGTGGAGAAGGGGGGACGGCTTCTTAGAAGGAGGCTGCTTCTGAGAAGCCTTCCCACCTCCCCTGCCCCCCTCTGCGCGTGGCTGCGTTCCACGATCCCCAGGATGCCGCACTGACGAGCACCTGCGCATCAGCAGCAAGAACCCACATCACCTGCTGCGGATGAGGCGTCGGAGGTCAAGGAGCAGGAGAGCCAGGCAGCCAGCTGCTCCAATTTGTTCGATGCGTGGGCCCCGGAGGTCTGGACCACTTCCCCAGGGCCGGTTCTGCGTCCTGGGTCGTTTTCTGACGCCCCCGAGGCCCAGCGAGGGCCTCCAGAGGCCGAAAACGGCCAGAAGCCGCCCGCTCCCGTTTCTGCTGGAGCGTCGGACCTCTGGGAAGCGCTGGCCCAGGCCCAGCGTGTCCCCGGCTGTTCACGCCGCTCGCGGGCCCAGGAGGAGGAGGAGGAGGAGGAGGAGGAGGAGGAGGAGGAGGAGGAGGAGGAGGAGGAGGAGGAGGAGGAGGAGGAGGAGGGGGAGGAGGAGGAGGGAGGAGGAGGAAAAGGAGGAGGAGGAGGAGGAGGAGGAGGAGGAGGAAGAAGAGGAACATCGTGCAAGGACACGGGAGCCTCCGCCGGCGGAGCCGAAGGAACCTTCGAGGGTGCCCTCCACCAGCGTGCACGTGAGCATGCAGCAGGCGCGAAGAGAACATTGGGGTGGAGTCGGGCGTGTCCCCCTACAGGGGGATTTTCGACGAGAAAAAAAAAGATTTTGGGCGAGGAAAAAGAAATACCCCCAAACATACTCCCAGATGGTCAAAGAGTACTCAAAGCATGGTCCCCCGACCACTGCTTGCCTACCTTGGGCTACTCCCCCTGTAGAGGCACAGGCCCGACCTAACATTGGGGCTCCCTCCCCGAGCCGACCCCGGCCGGGCACCTCGGCCCCCCGTATGGGGCCGAGGGCGCCGGGGCCGCTCAGGGCAGCAGCGCGAGGGCGAACGCCGCCCGCCACAGCGCCGCCGCCAGGCTGGCGTGCGGCGCGGGGGCGGAGCTGCCCTCGGGGTCCGAGTCCGAGGCGGAGCCGTTGGAGTCGGATGGCCCAGGCCCCCTCGAGTCATGAAAAAATCACGACCGAAGATTTTTCTATATTTTCCGCTTCTGGGAACCCTTACCGGCCCTCGGGACCGTCAAAAAACGACTCAGGATGAAAAACCGGTCCCGGCGAATAGGTCCGGACCTCTGGGGGTCGCGTCCTGAAAAAATCATGACGTCGGGGGTCTGGGGATGGCCCAGGCCCCCGCGAGTCACGACGCGGATCACGGCGCAGGGCCTTTCGCTGGTGTGGGCCTCCTTGGGGCCCTCGCCTGGCCTCGGGGCCGTCGGCAAGGGGGCTCGGGAGGAGGAGCTGGTCCCCGGGGATGCGGTCGGGGCCTCGGGGCCGTCGGCAGAAAGACGCGGGACGAAAAACCGGTCCAGGGGAGGTGGTCAAGACCTCGGGAGGTCGACGCCGTGAAAAAATCATGATGTCGGGGGTCTGGGGAGGCGGAGTCGTCGGAGTCGGAGGATCGGCGGCGAGCGAGGGGGGGAAGTGAGGAGGAGGAGGGCTCCTCAAAAGGCGGGAGGGGCTTCTCAGAAGCCTTCCAGCCTTCTCAGAGGTTCTCTGAGTCTGCGGGGAAGGCTGAGTCTTCGGGGAAGGCAGGGGGGCATCGGAGCCCTCTGAGAAGCCCCGCCCCTCCTCCCTGCCCCTCCGAGCTCGCCGCCGAGAGGAGGTGAAGTCGCAGCCGAGCTTCTCGGACACCACCGGGGAGACCAAGTGCAGGAGGCTACGGCACGACCTCTCGCGGGCGGCGGTCTCCCGGTAGCCCAGCTCCACCAGGTTCTCCAGGAAGGTGGCGACCTCCTGCGGCGCCTCCGGCGTCGCCATGCTTAGGATCGGAAGTATCCTCACAGTGGTGTTCAGGAGGCCGTCCACCTTGGTCAGGTTCACATGGTAGCTCAGCATGTAGTCTATGATGGGCGCAGCCTTGCTGCACAGCTCGTCCTGCGGCGTTGCCCTGAAAACCGCGTGGTCGAACGGGGCGGAGACCGCGTCGCTGGCGATGAACATGCCTACGACTGGCTGCACGGCCAACCGCAGCTTCTCTGGCATAGAGGCCTCCATTCGGTTGTAGATCTTGGTCACCTCGCTGTCGTGGGCAGCCTGCGAAGACAGCGTCAAGTTGAAGTAGTTGGCCAGAAGAGGGACGAAGTCCTGCGCCGAGATGCCGCGGCTGAGCTGCACCAGACCGACGTCCAGCTCCCTGGCCCGCTGGGAGAAGCTGGAGACCAGGGCCTGCAACTCTCCGATGCTCGCGTCTACGCTGTCCTGGAAACCGGAGGAGTTTGACAGGAGGGCATCCTGGAGGGCCGACAGCATCTGCATCATGTCCTCGGTGGAGACATCGGCGTCCGAGTCTGTCTTGTAAACCACTCGTCTCTCCGCCTCGCCCGCCAGCCTTTGCTTGACGGCGAGCGCGCCCCTCCGCGGGCCCACGAGGGCTGTGCAGAGCAGAGCGAGGCGGAGGCCGGAGATCGCCAACCCGTGTGGCATGGCCGAGGAGTCTTATGTGCCCACGCCGGGCATCGACACTTCGGGGGAACCCTGTCAAGCCTGCGGCACTTCCTACAGAATATGGAGTGTGGTGCCTGAACCGGCTCGGGACAGAATGACTGCGGACGACAGGCACGGAGGAGGAGGAGGAGGAGGAGGAGGAGGAGGAGGAACAGGAGGAACAGGAGGGAGGAGGAAAAAAGGCACAACAATGGCACTGGCCCCTGACTCGGGCAGGAACAGGTCCGCACCCGCCAGCGCGCCTCGAGGCGCGTGGTGGAGTGCCCCAAGAAGGTTCATGCAGCCCCAAGAAGTTATGAAAAGTACGAGGATTGTCCGAAGTTGGGGGGTGAGATCAAAGTGGAACCACGCAATTGCGCTCCGCTACTCGCAAAGCCACTACTCGCAAATGGCCTGGATCCACCGTGGGGGATCTACGACAGATTACATCGAGGCGAACTTGGGTTCTTCCGACGTTTGAAGGAGGAGGAGGAGGAGAAGGTGAAGGAGGAGGAGGAGGGGGGGGACGAGGAGGAGGAGGAGGAGGAGAGGAGAGGAGGAGGAGGAGGAGGAGGAGGAGGAGGAAGAAGAAGAAGAAGGAGGAGGAGGAGGAGGAGAGAGAGGAGGAGGAGGAGGAGGAGGAGGAGGGGGAGGAGGAGGAGGAGGAGGGGGAGGAGAAGGGCCCAGTCTCCCTCGAGCAAAAAAACAAAAATCACGACGGAAGGTTTTTCACCATCTTCGGCCTCTGGGGGCCCTTAAAGACCGTCAAAAAAACGACTCGGGATGGAAAACCGGTCCAGGGGAACAGGTCGAGACCTCGGGGGGTGGACGCAATGGAAAAATCATGTTGGGGGTCTGGGTGTTAGGGCGGAACTGGGCCAGATGTTGGCGTGCCCCCCCCCCCCTCTCCCGGTTGGCCGGCGGTTGCCCCGGGCGTGTGCCGACGGTGTCCAAATGGCGTCCCGATGGCGTCCCCGTGGTATCCCGATGATGTCCCGGTGGTGCCCCGATGGTCGTCCCAACGGCTGTCCTGAGAGATGAACAGATCGTGAGACCGATCGGCAGTGAGATCGATAGATAGTAGGATCGATTGTGAGATGGATCGTAAGACAGATAGATTGGTAGAATGACCAGTGGTGAGATCAATCGTGAGGTCGGCAAACATCAGAGTGAGGGGGCCGAAAAGTCATTCATTGTCCCCGGGTGCGTGGCTGAAGTGGGGATCCGTGATGAGGATTCTGCTTGTTGTATTGGTGCGTTGTTGCGTTGTTGTTTTTTGTTGTCGTTCCACCCGCGACACACCCGCGACCCACCCCGCGACCCACCTCGCGACCCACCCCGCGACCCACCCGCGACCCACCCCGCGACCCACCCGCGACCCACCCGCGACGCACCCGCGACACACTCGGCGACCCACCCGCGACCTCCCCGCGACCCATCCGCGACCCACCCGCGACCCACCCGCGACATACTTGCGACCTACCCGCGACCCACCCCGCGACCCACCCGCGAACCGCCCGCGACGCACCCGCGACCCAACAGCGACCCACCCGCGACCCAGCCGCGACCCACCCCATCGGCGCCTGCGGCGAGCTCGTTGTATAATTGGTGAAACTTTGGCGCCTGCGGCGGGCTTCTCCAGAGTCTCGCAGACTGCCGACGTCCCCACCGCCCCCTCACTCTTATCCGCATCTGCGGGGTGCTACGTATTTTCATGGCGATGTCCAGATGGCGTCCAGATGGCGTCCCGATGGTGTGCGGGTGCTGTCCCGATGGTGTCCCGACTGTGTCCACATGGCGTCCTCATGGTGTTGCGATGGTGCCCCGAGGGTCGCCACGCATCGTCACCATCACAATCGCTATCATGCAAAGCAATGCAATTCAATGCAAAACAATGCAAACCACCGCAAGACACAACACAATATGCAACGCAAAACAATGCAAAGCAGTATAGAACGATGCAATACAAAGTAATGCAAACCAGTACAAAACAGAGCAGAGCAATGACAAGCAGAGCAAAACAATGCAATGCAAAGCATCGCACAGCAACGCAGAGCAACGCGTTGCAACTCACTGAAACTTTCTGCAAGCCAACGCAAAGCAATGCAACGCAATGCAATACGACGCACAGCAATGCACAGACATGCACAGCAATGCAACGTAAAGCAAAGTCACACAAAGCAATGCAAAGCAATGCAATGCAACATAAGACGAAGCGATGCAAGGCAGTGCGATTCCAATGCAATGCGATTGCTGCGACGGGCGGCGACGAGGCGGCGACGGCGGCCACATTGCTGCCAGAGCGGCCCGCCGGCAAAGGCGACGGGCGGCGACTGGCGGCGACGAGGCGGCGACGGTGGCCGCATGGCGGCCAGAGCGGCCCGCAGGCCCAGTTCCTTAGAAAGAACAAGAAACCCTAAGTGAAAGCATTGTTGCTTGGGGAAAACACCGCACAACAATGCCAAGCAACGCCGCCAATGGAAACCAGTGCAACGTAGAGACACGCAAAGCCAGGCAAAGCAATGCAAATCAAGCAATGCAGCGCACATCAATGTAAAGTGTAAAGCAATGCAAAACAATGCGACGAGGCGGCGACGGGGCGGCGACGGCGGCCACATGGCGGCCAGACCGCCGCGCAGGCCCAGTTCCTTCGAAAAGAAACAAGAAACCCCAAGTGCAAGCACTCTCTGGGGAATGTGGAGCACCAGGGATGTTGACAAATATGGTGCTGAGAAGTAGGTCTCTTATTCCATGTGCCCACTGCATTCTGCGTTTCTCACAAGTCGCGCGTCTTGCGGAGAAGGGCCACTTGAGACAACGCCAGCTCTCCCAACTGGTCAAATTCCGCTCAACATCGGTCCCGGCCCCCGGACGCCTCTCCGGACCCATCGTGAGCCGCTCTTCGAGGCGGACCCAAACACGGCGACGAGAGGCTCCCAGGAGGCCCGGAGAAACGACACACACCTCCAGGGAGGGCCGCCGTTGTTTCGACTGGCCCCCTTCCGAATTCCACGTCCTCCGCACCCCGCGCGGCCCGACCGCGGAGATTTACCTGCGCGATGCGGGCCGAACAAAGGCCCCTCCCCCTGCAGGAAGATCGGCATTTACATGGCCCTCCTCCCTTCCTCCCCTTATCGTTTTCCCCTTTCCTGGGAGGTGAGGGGCAACGATAGGGGGGCTGGCATAGGGGGGGGGGCACATCGACCTGGAATCGGCGATAAATGCATCCTCCCCTATGCCTATCTCCCCAAATCGATGCCCCTGCCCCGGACCCCCCACGCCATAACTTGTTCAAACGCTGACTCCCGAGGTCTCGCCCCATTCCCCGGGACCGGACTTTCGTTCCGAATTGTGTTTGGACGGTCCCGATCGAGGCCCGGTGAGGGCGCCCAGAGGTCGAGAATAGCGAAAAACGTCCCTTCGTGATCTTTGCACGACTCGAGGGGGTCTAGGGAGGGCGAGCTAGGGGGGGAGAGTCCGTGACCCCGGCGCGCCCAAACATCCGACGGTCCGATCTCTGCATTGGAACCTCCCGCGAGTGCACGGTTTCCCCCGGGGCCGTAGGCGACCCGAGGAGGAGGAGGAGGAGGAGGAGGAGGAGGAGGAGGAGGAGGAGGAGAAGGTCGAGGAGGAGGTGGAGGAGGTGGAGGAGGAGGTGGAGGAGGGGGAGGGGGAGTAGGAGATGGAGGAGGAGGAGATGGAGGAAGAGGAGGAGGAGGAGGAGGAAGAGGAAAGGGAGGGAGGGAGGGAGGGAGGGCGGAGGAGGAGGAGGAGAAGGAGGAGGAGGAGGACGGGTCGCCTGAGCCCTTCGGAGAAACCCTCCACCCGCGACCTCCCGACCCCCTTCCCCCGAGGGGGGCAGCTGTTCGTGCTGGACTCGTTGCCGACATGGCCCCAGGGCCCGACATGATCACCGCGCCCCGTGCAGAGGGCGAAGTCGAGGAAGAGCGCTGGGATTCAGAAGCGTGCCGTCGGACGCAGACCCCCTCGCATGCGTTTCCCCCACCTTGGTCAGCGCTTCGTGGCCCCATAGGGAGCTCCACCGAAGGCCCCAGTCGCCGAGCGATCGCTCCAAGATGCCCAAGATGGCGTCAAGATGGCCTCAGGATGGCGCAGAAGGCTTCCTAGGCGCCCCAAGAGGCTCCCCAAAGCAACGAAAACATCATGATGAGAGGCTGTTCGCCGTTTTCTGCCCCTGGGGGCCCTTCCCGGGCCTCGGGGCCGTCGAGAAACGGCTCGGGCCGAGACCTCCGGGAGCCGACGTCATGACGAAATCCTGCTGCCAGGGGTCTGGGGAGATGGCCGGCCCACCTCCACGAGGCCTCTGCCCAGCCCTATCGGGCCTTTTCGGAGAGAGGCCCCTTTGGGGGCAGGGAGGCCGTCTCTCAAACCGAAGTCCCCTGCTTTATGCAAGGGGGCCCCTCCTCTAGAACCCCGACGCCACGATTCCTGTCACAGCGCCGACCTCCAGAGGCCTCGGCCCGGGACCGGCGTTGTGTCCCGAGTCGTCTTGGGCGGTCCCGAGGTACGGCGGGGGCGACCAAGAGGGGGGTGTCCAAGAGGGGGGGGCGCAAATCATGGCCGGCGACATGTGCGTGGCCCAGCGGGGGGGCCAGGGACGTAATGAAGCAAGAAGAGGCGCCATGAAATCTGGGGAAATATCATGGCCCCCGCCATATATCCAACCCCCCTAGTCATCACCCCCCTCTTTTCCGGCCCCGAGTACGGCAAGGACCCCCAAACGCCGAGAGTGGCGAAACGCCTCCCGTCGTGATTCCTTCATGACTCGAGGGGGCCTGGGCCTCCCTCCTCTTCTGTTCCCCGTGCTGCGGGTAAGCGGCCACGGGTGATAAGAATACCCCCGAGCTAATACAGTTCGGGGGCCTGGAGGGGAATCATCAGCGATTGTCCCGGGGAAGAAGGATGTCAGTCAGAAGTTATGATGATGATGATGATGATGATGATGATGATGATGATGATGATGATGATGATGATGATGATGATGATGATGATGATGATGATGATGATGACGCTGATGATGATGATGATGATGATGATGATGATGATGATGATGATGATGATGATGATGATGATGATGATGATGATGATGATGGTGATCCTGGGCGCTTGTGGCACAAGACTGACTCGAGAGATCTTG